AAAAAACAAAAATGCTTGGTTACACTTACATAACCAGCTGTTTGACCCTGTTACCCCATAACCCAGCCATGATATATGCCAGGGACGCATTCCTTTCATCCAAGGTGTTTCCTTCTCCCTGCGGCTCCTGCCAAGCGGAGGAGTAACGTCAGAGAAGGAGAGAACAGTCCAATGCCATAAAATGTTAGAAATGTTAGAAGTTTGACATTTACAGTACTGTATAAAACGTCATACTTCAACATTTGGCATTCGCTTCTTAAAACGTCAGATGCGCTGCTGGTAAACCCAGATGAGCCCATGGCAGTTTGTGTCTAACCATAGCTGGACGGGCAGGGTGGTGGAGGGTTGATGGATGCTGCCGGTCAGCTTTCAGGAGGGGAGTGCTGTGTCTGTTCATCGTGGATACGAGTCGCCAAAACCCTCGGAAAAGATCTGTCCAGGATCAGTTTCAGCCCGGGCTCACAAAATTTTGTGTCATGAACGCAACCTCTTGAAATGCAAATACCACGTCTCCACATTAATAGATTATTTTCCCTCACCGTGAACGGATTAAATGGAAAGGCTTTACTACAGACATTGATAGGTCTAAGTGCTTAGATTCAGGACAGCTACATTAAGCAACTTTGGAGCACCAGGGTGCAGAAAGACCTTTGCCAAACAATTCACTATTTACAGATTCATTGGAACCACAGAAACATGATTGCAGTTTTTACACAAGTCATTGCAAACACTTGTCTCTGAATGAGACCAAAAGTAAACACAGAAAGTGGCTGCCTGGATTGGCCATTATGACTAACCGTATGACCATTAGAATGTTGAATCATCTTGGGTGAAGGAAACTGTATAATCATATACAAGTTTAATCCTGGTGGGTCAAACATATTGCAATCGCTCACATACAATAGATTTTTTATGGGTTGTAATCGCTTTTTTCTTACTTTGATTTTGGAGAGATGACACAAAGTCTCCAGGATTGAAATCAGATGACACTGTTTGGAAAAGAGTAGGCACTTTGGAAAAATACTGATACTTATACTGATTGGATGATCCATCTGTCTATCACCGTCTATCATGGGCAACCAATCAGAGCAAACCATATACCATATATATGAACTGTATAACATAGTCAAACTCTTAACCAAACCAAAGTAACAGCTGCTAGTACTTTTTCACAGGACACTGATTGGCCTTGTACCACTGTACCCGCCACAAACACAAAGATTAAGATGGATTCTTGTGTGATCTTGCAAGCTGCCTCACAAGGTCAATATCCCTATGCAATTTGCCATAATGGCTATTTCAGCTGACTGCTTTCTGTGTTTACTTTGGGTCAGACAAAGTGTTTAAAATGTTTCATGTAAAGATCATGTTTATTTAGAAAGCTGTGATGTATATTGTTTTGCCTGAGTCCTTGTTTCACCAAATCTCTACACTGGAGGTGGCGAGTGTGAAATTAGCACGACCCACAGAGTCACAAAAGCCACATATATGCCAGGTTGAAATATAGCAGAATTTTCTCCTTCAAAGCATGCAAACAAAGTGCTCCAGTAATTTAGCATTGCAGTTCTAAAGGTTTAGGTTTTTTATGAGGGACAGATTAAAAAAAGTTAGTGTTATAATTGCGACATCTTTTGACAAAATCTGCATAAATACAGGTTAATGATAACAGCAGTGTGATCGGGGTTAGGGGCGATATTTTGCATGTACTGGTTTTATATATTGGAGTTTCAAGGTCCAGTGTGTAGTATTTAGTGGCATCTAGTGGTGACGTTGCAAATTGCAACTAACTGAAAACCGCTTGTGTCTGTATTTGACAAACAGGGCTACTGTAGAAACATGGCAGTTCAACATGTTGCAACAACATGTTGCGTTTTGTCCATAGAGACAAACTTTCTTTGATGTAACTCAATATTATGTTACACCAACTACAAAAAGAAGCCAAATGGATCTACTGAACACTGAGACCTTACCGAACGTGGCCTTGTTGCGTGATGAGGACAGGATACTGGCGAGAGCAGTTGATAATTTACCCATATCACGGTGGAGGACAATTCACATGTACACATTCACCCTCTGCGAGGAATTTGCATTTCATCCTTTGGGTTCATTTGACAAAATTTTTGCTATTGTCTTGTCCGTGTGTCTGTGTTTGATGTCGGTCAGAAGCCACTGTATCCTCATGGTGTGTAACAGTGTGCTGTGTGTGTTGAAGCTCAGAGAATGTATTGGTAAGTATGAAGTCATATTGGTGTCTGTAACTGTGAAATACTGCACTGTGAAATAATGTTGGGCATACTGGGCAGAGGAACAAAGCAGCTCACATTTACCTAGTTAAAGCACTGACTCCAGTTTTTTATTTCTTTTTCTAGAGCAGAAACCAATATATGAATGCATTTTGGAACACATCAAAGTTAACATTACATTACCAATTAGCAATGTCTAACCTGATTCTTTTTAGTTTTGGCCATCATTTCTATTACTTACAATGACATTTTACTCAAACCAGTCTTTCGGGGTTATGTACAGGGGGACAACAACTCCCTGAAATGGGCTTAGTCAATAGTACTGAGTACCAGCACTTCTCCTGTAAACACATGCACAATGTTTAATTTTCACATGAGAATTCTGCGTAGATCCACCCTACTCTGCCTCTGATTGGATGGTGTTTGTTGGTTTGGTTGGGGTTAGGCTTGGGATTGAGATGGTACATAGTTAGCTTAGTCAATTTTATTTTTCAGTTTGGAGAACTTACAGGAGTTGCATTTTACTCACCAGCTTCATTTCTGACATTTCTAACATGTAAATTCAGCAAACGTGTGCTAACAAACCATCCAATTTAACAAGGACATTTTTCAGTGCTGTTATCTTAGCATTAAGCTAGCTATGTGTTTACACACAGACGTAGTTACGTGGGCATTTAGGAGTAGTTCACCATCATTGTTGTACGCAGGGTTTTAGTAATACCGAGGTCCAAAAATGTAACTTGCTAGGGGGTTTGGGGGCATGCATCAGAGTAAAGTAATTTTTTGGCAGTTATTTCCCAACTTTTATTGTATACCCCTTGGAAAAAATAGTTCCGTACTTCAGTGGTCGGTACATCCATGCTTACCAGAGATGGCAGTACGAGATAATACGGATAAAAATCAGAGGTGCCGGACCGGTGTTACTCAGTACCAGTGAGAACCAGGCCTTGTCCTAGACCTCAGCTATAAAGATGTAAAATGTTATCATAACAGATGAGAATTGATGGACAAAATGAGACCAGAGTCAAGTAAGGAAAAGACAACAAAAAAGGAAATAATATTCCTTAAAATTCAGTTGAGGTCCCTTTTCTATCACTTTCTGTAAGATTGACCGTCAACACACAGTTATTGGTAGAGTAATTGGTAGCGGTCAGATTGAGCTGCTTTGTCTTGAAATAATCCCCTAAAAGGGTCATGTTGTCTGTGGAGATGGGCTGGTGGCTGGTTGTGCAACAGAGATCACAGAATTAGAAAGTAAAATATCCATAGGTACTCTTATTCTTTTACATTGCCTAACACCAGCACTAAAATCCCCAAGGTTGACTGATGGGTCGTTAACTTTGGGGTTTTGGTGGTGCTGTCAGGACCTGTTAGAACAAAAAGCAATGAGAAAAACTTCACAGCCTCACATATTGCTGCGAACATTTAATTATTTATTACTGTGTTTTGATCTATCCGACCTTTATCAGGTATAAGGGCCATGTATCCCCATATACCTGATGGAAGTCGGACAGTAATAAACTTTTCTTTTCAGCAGTGTAAAACAATGTAAATTTATTTGATCCTATGAGGTTGTACAGAGCATCTCTGATACAGACACAGAGGTCACCAGCCTGTCCCTGTCTCCATGTCTACCTCTGTATACCACTAAATCTGTTTTCAAAAGTCAGACAAAAGATCTGCACACTGCCCTTATAGCTCCTAGCAAATTCAGATTTGTCTGACTTTTGCACTCAGTTCATCTTTTGATCCAGCAGCAATAAAGTTGTTTGGATGTGCGTGCCCCATACTCCGTTAGTCTCTGTATCTGTTTTCACCTCATATTTCTGTCTCTCTATCAGGCTACATCGAGGCTGTGGTTATCCCCGCGGGAGCCAGGAGGATCAAAGTTGTGGAGGACAAACCCTCACATAGCTTTCTGGGTAATGATGCATGTGTTTTACAGGGAGTCCTTGAGAATGGTCACTGCCAACTTCCAGACAAAAACACAATACTGTGATTAAATGGCAGCTGCTGCCAGTGTGCTACAGTATTACTGCAGTGTCTACATGCAACTACTTTAGTACTACTACAATGCATTCATATTATCCCCTATTCATGTGTATCTTATCTGGATGGATGGATGGATGGATGG